AATGCCACTAGAAAGTTTTTTATTGTTATTTTTTCATGAATATTGAGAATGTCCAAATGTTTTCCTAGATCATTATTTAACACTAGAATTACTAGAACAATTAACACTATTTACGGTAATTGAACGGCAATGATTTAACTGTGACTTTTTCTGTTTCTTTGTGTACTGAACACAAACTATTGTTAGTCTGTCTATCCATCTATCCATCTATCTATCTGTCTATCTGTCTATTCTGTCTATCTATAAGCAGTGTTTATTTGCAGCACTCTGGACCTTGAGTCTGCAAATAAAGTTTTCTATCTGTCTATACTGTGTCTATTTATCCTATGAGTACTTGTATGAAACAGATTAAAACATCTTCATTATCAGGTAGTGTTTTCATCCTATGGTAACAGTGAAATTGGATTACTGATTACAGTTTTTCTGGTCGCTTTGGTGCATTTTTCACATTCGTTCTTCACATTTTCACAACTGTTGGTGCATTTCTCAGAACAATTACGTGCAAACTGCAGAATACCTCGTGGATAACCTGCAAAAGTAGCGTACTTTCTCAAAAATGAAAACGTTATGTCCTCAAAGCAGTTCAAACGTTCAATGAAAAAACTGTCTGTGTCGTCAAAATAATATGTCCTAATCAACATTGAGTTTGAACATCACAGTCAAAATGACTTAGTCATGTTTTCATTGTGGAAAGTTTACTCTCTCTGTGTTTCTCAGAGTAAAAAAGTCAGATCTCGGTGACACTTGAGCCACGAACTACTGTATGCAGCACACTATACACGACCTATACCAGCCATCTTACAGTATAAAAACTACAGTAAAGTTACACATAAGACTGTATTTAGAGAGTTAATGACATTCTGTAACATATATGTATATGTGTATGTATGTATGTATGTGTGTATCTATGGATGTATGTACAGTATGTATGTGTGCTATCTTATGTTATGTTATGCACTGTATGTATGGTGTGTATTGTGTGTATCTATGTATGTATGTTCAGTATTTATATGTATGTGTGTATCTATGTATGTATGTACAGTTGTATATGTATGTGTGTATGAGGCTGTATCTATGTATGTATGTAACGTATGTATTTGTATGTATGTGTACTGCATATGCTCTTTGTATTTTTGCTTGCACAATGCGGTTAGAATTGCAGGCACATACAGTATACTGTACATGTGAGTATATACATAGAACAACATACCAAAGACATATCATTATGGTAGAACTGTGACAAGAATTTGAACAATAAAGCATACCTCATCAGTGATAAGCTGAAATTCACCTGGGATAAATTGTTCAATTTAAGAAAGATTTACAGGGAAAAAAAGATTAAGGAATGTATGAAATTAGAATTGACAGTTATGATTTTGAGAAAACTAGTTCAACAATTTTGTATGTGTTGACCAAAGCTATGAAATGAGGACAGTTAGTTTTATAGTGAATGACTATTCAGGAAGTGATACTGTGTGTTTCATTTTGACTGACAGGACAGAAGCAAATGATGATGTTGAAAAAAATACGCTGAGAATTGTATGAAAGTAACTGATTACATGAAACAAAAGCATTGAAATGTGTTCAGAGGAAATCAGAAAACTCGCCATGATAATGTGCACCAATGAACCAATGTTGTGAGAAGTTGAAACAAATCGTTTTGAGAACTTTTAGTCTGATGTGAAAAATGCACCAAAGCGACTGAGAAAAAAACTGTAATTCATTTGTCCTTGTACCAAGAAAAAGTGTGTATGTAGGAGGAGGAAGTTAACTTACTAGTTGTTTCCATAACGTCATTTCTGTGTGCAAAAAATATAGTCCTAATTCTCGTTATAATTCACTCAAGATTTGATAAAGGGTCAAAATGAAGTAAACCATTTCCTCTTTGAAGGGTGTTTGAGAACAGGAACAATCTGATCACACTCTTTATTTATTAAAAGTTCACCACCTCTTAATCTCTCTGTGCTGTTGATCTTTCGAAAGATACGGAGTCTTCATCGCTCAAGTAATTTTTGCATTATTTTATGTAAAACAAAATAGGAATCTGGCAAATTGCTACATGAGTTGTTTGACAAAAATGCACACACATGTTATAAAAAGTAAAAAATATATCAATACAAAATGGTCCTCTGGTGACATTGCTCTACAGTTGTTTGCCTCCCAATGTGTTATAAGCAAATAACACTAAATATTGTTCGCTTTATCAGACTTGTCATGTCCTGAAGCGGCAGTTGAGGTCTGCTGTCCATGGATATCTGTGACGTTTGAGTGTTGGAGCAAGCCTTCGCCTTTGACAACCTCTTCAGAGGCTGCCATGATGAACTTGCGAATTTTCCTTGTGGCGAAATAGTACACCACGGATAAGGATACAGGTTTTCAAACCCATCAGCACCAAGTCACCTGATGTGCGTCGTTGAATGTTGTAAAGATCTGGTTGGAACCATTGCACGCTGCCCCAACCTTCTTGAACTGCCAACACCGCTAACGCCTACGGCCCTTGGACAACGTGGTGTGGCAAAAAGCACAAGATGGAAGACACCGGACCACCGCTAGCAGCAATCTGCGTGCTCTTTGCTTGACACCTCTGGGTTCGCTTTGCGTTGGAAAAACTCCTGGTGGACTCTCCTGGATTTAATCGTAGATGACCTTATCTCAGATTGGAGCGGAGATTGCGTGATGAGGTTTTGAACGATGAGTAGGTTGCATATGACGAAAAAAAAAATGAGGAAATAGAGATAAACGAAAAACATTGCGATTATGGCGAAATGGGTCGCGGCTACGGTTTTCTTTGGAGAATCGGTTTGATTTTGGGTATCCTTCCAAAGCCAGCGAGTTTTACCGTCGGAATCCAAGTTGGTTCCAGGTGAAAGTAGATAAGGAACGGACATGGCGGACGACAGCAAGCCAAATGACAACGAAAATTACTATCCCGCGATTTTCGACGGTCCGAAGATACAGCATCCAACGGCTTCGAGACGCCCAGTATCGGTTGACACTAATAGCACCCAAGAAAAGGATGGAAGAATATGTATTGACGAAAAATAGGGATCCTGTTAAACGACACACTTAAATCGGAGTATATTCCAATCGCACAGAGTCCGACTGTAATAATCGATCCAAAAATTGACAGTTATTTTTCTGCATTTTGATTGGAACGCATAGCCCAGCTATTAAATTGCCCTCTTGAACTTTGGGCCACGTTGCTCCGTGGTTAAAAGTAACGGAAAAGCACAGAAGATTCTCTGCTCTTTCCTTTGGAGGAATGCAATGAGATATATGAGTCTTTTAAAGTTGCTATTGTTACGTGCTATCAGCTGCCCCTGAGTCTACACCGCAGCGGTTCTGAGACCACAAGAAGCCCAAATTAATCTCCTGTGTTTATTTCTACAACAACCCCACGATAAACCAGAGGGGCTACACATATACAGGTTCATTGTGGCAACTTTTTTTTGGTTGAAGTCTTTGTTCCCAATCCATATCGTTTCTGTCCATCGCATCCATACACTTCTGACACAGCAAGCTTGTATACTGGCCTAAAATCCACTTAGTGAGCACGAAAGCTGGGCACACACAACAGAAAATGAGCATTATGCGTTTATATTATTTTGTTGATATGTACAGGCAGACTAAACATGGCAATAGCAGTGCTCACCACCTCTATCTCGCTCCTCCCACCTCCTCTCCGCTCACCAACACCCCGTCTCACGTCAAAGTCCTTCTCCTCATCACACACAGAAGAACGCAAGCGTCCATACCTCTTTGTACACGCGCCTACAATCCACTCTCTTTTCCCATGGATCCAAAAATAATATCTGATAGGGTATTACGACTTATAGCTGTCCCACTAAATGGGCACAGGGCGCCCCTGATATACTGGCAGAAACTAAATTCATGTTGGGCTGAATTTTGTCAACCTTTCCTCGGGCGCTCGGTGTCAGCGAACCAATCAGAGAGCCGCAAAGTGGTCACGGGACATTAGCGGTCTGAGGCGAGCAGACATGAACATACTCGTAAACCGCCAAAACAGGAAGCTACAGTACATCAGGACTCTAAACCAGGGTCGACAATGAGGGACATAGTCGCTTGCTAACTATGTGAGTTTTCCATGCACTACCCTGACTTTATGCAACTGCTTCCGAGTAGTATTTTGCAGATGCAGAAGTACCGTTTAATAATAAAATAATCGTATTGCGCACCTCCGTTATCACACATACTAATACGTTATATAAAGTCTGCGCTCACTCCCCTCTCTTTCCCATGGATCAAAAATAATATCTGGATAGGGTATTACTACTTATGCTGTCCCCACTAATGGCACAGTGGCGCCCGTGATACTTGCAGACTAAATTCACGTGGGCTACCCAGAAAAATTCCCATAGAACTCAATGTAAATTAAAAACAGCTCAACCTCAGCTGACAGAGAACCTACAACGTTCATAAAGGTCGGGATTTTGTGGGATTTAGTTTCCTTGTCATCCTGAATTTTTTTTCTTGTTACAAAGCCCTCATTTTTTTTTTGTTCATTGAAATTTCATTGTTTCTCCCGCATCTAAACGCCGCTTTTTTACCGCCGCTCTAAAAAACCGCCGCTCTACGCCGCTCTTCCGCCGCTCTAAACCCGCACTAACCGCTCTAAACGCCGCTCTTAAACCCCGCTCGCTCCACACGCCGCTCTAACCCAGCTCCTACGCACGCTCTACAAGACCGCCGCTCCAACGCCGCTCTAAACGCCGCTCTTACTCTCTCTGATCACTACACACGCTTATTGGCTGTATTTTTGTGTAGGGAATGTAGTGTTAGGGCATATTTATCATTTATTATTCGTTTGGAGTAAGAAAAGAGCTTTGTTACAGGATGACAGGGGCATAAAAACATTGGCGTTAGGGTTCTGTAATTGTACTTTGTACTTAACCCATACCTTTTCTGTTGTGACAACAAGTTAGTACTCCACTCTATCATTAAATTGAATTGGATACTCACACTGGTAAAAGCTCTCTGACCTAGCTCACGCCTCGGTTGATATGTCCTGGGTCAGCTGGAGGCCTCCTCCGGTCCGTCACTTGTTTTTTACCCGTTTGCCCAGGACAACAGCAAGTTCGCCCAGGGCAACAGCTCCAGAGGCCCCATCTTGTCCTCATCTGGAGGACTGTACCAGACAAAAGAAAATGAGTTCATTTGTTATTCCAACAGTGAAGAACAGAAAGTAGCACTGAATACAAATGTAATTAAATCGGTAAAATGGGATGAGAGGAGCAGCATTGTAGTAACAACAGATGCAATAAACCCGACTAAAACATTACTATAAGTATAGAAACAATAATAGAAGATACGAGTTGAGTAGCTATAAACCAACATGTCCAAATGCATGGAACAGACAGAGTTTCAAAAATTCGCAAAAAGGGACTGAGTGAAGAGAACCTCCACATATTAACAGATACATAAAAGAAATTGCCAAAAATAAAGGAAATAAAAACTTGGGCTTGGGTGTTGGATGAGAGTAAGAATCAAAGCTGAAGGAGAGGAGCGAAGCAAGTATAACATAATTCATAAGCCAAGCGATTGTTAAGGTTAACTGTCCCCTTTTAAAAAAAAACACAATACAACCATTAATGTTTTACTTTACTATTCAGTTTATCCAAAAGCGTAACCTAGACTCACTGCTTGATTTTCTTATGAAGAGTCTATACAGTCTGTTAAAATAGCATTTGTTTAGTTGACTCTTTTTGGTTAATATATTTGGTTGAAAAGACGCTGCACATAATGTATGCTCTACCATAAATAAATTTTCTTTCCTCTCTTATACTATTTTTTGACAGACTTGTGTGAGTAAAAGCCATGATTATTGCTATAAAGGGGGAGTTTTAGTATAGAAGTCAACTAATATGGCATATGTATTTGATACTTACTTCAGTCCCCACGTTATTGCCTGGAACTCCTGATTGCTAACGTTCTTACTTGTACCCGTTGACTCAACAAGGCGAGGCCAGATTATTTGTATAGCATACTTCTTGGACAAGGAGACTCACATATGCATGTAGTTGTGGCAGCCCTAGTGATAAGGACGGAGGAGAATGACAGCGAGGCAGGACAGCAGCAAGCCACCTGCTCAAAGATGCATTAATCCCACGATCTCCTGCAACCAGAGGCAATCCAGTGTATTTGTCTAGACAGTTCTTACATGCTCTACTGTGACCTACAACACATTATTTACATACCATGAAAATCACAAATGCAATCATTTAAGTAAATAACATGAAAATTAATATTGTAATTTGGTTAAAAATAACTTGTTTTAAGTAGATTTTTGGTCAATGAAACACAGCAAGTACGACTTAGGGTAGTGGTGTCGAGCGTGGTTTGGGCAGAGACAGTAGTTGTCGTATGTTCCAAAAGGTAAACACCGCGGGTTGTGGAGGGGTGTTGTTGGTGCCAGGTTCGGGTGAGGGTTGTACAGGTGGGGAAAAAACGCATATGAGAATGTAGAAACATCAGCTGGGTAGCAGAGATCGTGGCGGGGGAGGTGCTGGGGAGGGGATCGTCACCACCTACCAGATTGGAGTACGGATTGACAGATAGTGTGTCATACAGGAGCCCTACAGAGTGGTTTAGTTATTCACAAGGGGTGGTGGGCTACGGCTTATGTAATGGGTTGCATGTCCACAGCGGTTGGCGCATGACAAAATGGCAAAAGGGTGTGGTTAAAAAGCCCACATGTGGAGAAGGAGTTATGAGCCCTTACCTAATAAATGGAACGCCACAGACCAGTGTGGGTTGCAGGCCAGTTGCTTTTGATATTTAAGGCTCAGAGATAAAGGTTGGGGGCGGAGAGTTGGTAAAGCCTCGATGGTGGGGACATTAAGGGCCCTGGGGTAAACCTGTAAAAGGTAACATAACCCGGAGGGGCGCGGCCTCCAATTGGCGACTGGACAAGCGGTGGTTGAGAGCGAGTAAGAGACCCAGTATTGGTAGTTCAAAAACTACAGTTGGATGACCCAGTCAGCTGGAACATCAACGCTAGAGGGGTGGAAGTGAATTAGGAAAACATGGTTAATGCACGGGCCGGGCCTCGCCCACTATGAACTGAGGGGGGCATAGTACGTCATCCCCAAATCAGGGTCGCGTCCATTAGGCGAGCCGGCGCGGGTCCAAGATGGATAGAAAAAGGTCCAAAAATCTGCCAAATATGGTTAGAATATATGGCAAAGTCACATTCAAATGAAAATGACTATAGCACAAATCACATGATAGCGGTACCAATGGAGGAATTGCGGCCATTGGTGTGAAGACGTGGTTGGTGCGTGATTGGCTAGGGGGGCCTCCGGCTGCCTGCCCGGACCGCAACGATCACTGGTTAAGGTATACACTCCAACAATCTCCACAGATCAAACAAAACGCCTCAGATTGTTGGGTGCCACAGTCGTGTCCACTGACGAGCTGGAAATGTAGAGGTGGGGGGAGGGAATCGAACCGTTAGTTATATGACAGTGGGGTGTCCGGGGGCTTGGTCACTCAGTTGTGCCAAATGTCGCTCAGTGGTCCCAAATCGCTAACACCCTCGACAAAAAAACAAACGCGAACCTGACTACACACTGGGACACAAACCAACACAGCAGGTGCTCAATATGATTGACCGCCTGATTATCAAAACTCAAATCTCTGCTCTCAATACAACTTTATGTTTTGTTAAAGTGTCTGGAGTTTGTCAGAAAAAAGAGAGAGGCACATGAATCGAAAAAAAAAAAAGGGGACCCAAGCTCCCATCCCCCTTCCTTTGAAGTCCGTGCTTACTTTTTTACACTCTATGAAAAAAAGAGAATACGTGTAGGTACCCATATATGTATGAATACAGATGTTATATGGATTATTTTATTGTATATAACTTAAGAATATACAAAGACGTATATTCAACTTTTATATTAAAGGTAACTGTGTAATTTCTAGTGCCTCTAGCGTTGAGATCTTATATTCAGTCCTTAATTGAGATTTGAGTTCGGGTGCCTGTAAGTTTAAGGAGACTTTGCCTGAGAACTGTTTACAGTGCTCCTCAACTCTCATCTTTCACCAACTGCCAAGGAAAGAAACTTTAGTTTTGATAATATGAGACCGGATCTCTCAAAGTCTCGGGCACTTTGATAGACGCGTGGAGCAAACATGTAAACAAGACCGCGTTCAGCAGCAGCACCCTACACCGAGGCTCACTGATTTTTACCATGGATCTACTATAATATATAGTTTTTACAAATGTGGTGTGAAGAGAAGAGACACATAGGAATAAAAGTCTGTGTGAGTTTTTAAAACTGTGTGATAAAGAAGCAGGAGATATACATATTCCCACAGACCAATGGAATTGTCACATGACCTCACTCGGAGGACTCCTCATCTTTGTTGGCACGCTGCCTGTGTTTGTGCATTCCATTAAACAGAAGAATTAGAATAAATTTGTAGATCTTCAAACGCAAAAAATTTTGTTTTTGAGGGAAAAAAAGGGCAATCTTTTGAGCAAATAATGTATATTAACTACAATGCATCCACCACAGTTTAACGTGCAAACGGACATGTTGTTACATATATGATCGAATTATGCAGCAAAAATTATACAAGCTATGCACACATTTTTTTTTTATTTTTCTCAAAAACTTTAGATTGTAATACCAGTTGGAGTCCATTTATTTATTGTAATTATATTATCAATTAATTTAATTAATGCTAAATCCACACTCGGACACAGCTGGATTGCCTGTTATTGTTATTTTCCATTTCCGCGTTTTTGACCGGATTTATGGTGAATGAGGGCAACTGATTCTTTTCCCAGCACTCGAGCCTCGGACGCGACACCGATCCTCCTCATAATAAAGTAATCTAAATAATGAAACTCTCAAGTTACCAGATATCAGCATACACAAGTTAGTACTGAGTAAATTACGTCTGTCAACACATTATAAGATACGATACGCACCTGACACAAAGTGCTCTGAGCATATTCTTGCGTGTTTTGAGGGAGTTTCTTGCCTGTTTATCTTCGCAAGCCATAACCTCCGTCGTTGTTCTGACAAAAGCTTAGTCTTCTCACATTCATGAAGTCTAATGATGGGTATACTGTAAAATCCAAGTTTAACGGAACCTCCGGCAGAACGATTTGAACATCCATTGACCCAGCAGGAGATGACCATTTTCAACTTTATCACGACATTAACACGTTTCAGCTTCTTTTTCTATTGTTTTGCCCACAGCATGCCAATACAAATGGCGCCGGGTCGGCAAATCCCCGTATGTAGTGACGTCATGTGGGAACTATGTATACACAGCAGCAGCAGGACATGGCAAAGCTCATGTTAGCGTTAGCCACAGCGCCCAATCTGCATCACCAGGTAAGAAAAACAGAACATTCACTCTCGCTGCTGATACATTATTCTGGCGATCATTTTATGGGGATTCTGTGTGTTTCATTTGATGCTTGTCCCTGAATAAGTTTAGTTGAAACTTGTGACATAGTAGTTGGACTGCGCTTGGATCGGGTCAGAACATCCTGAGACTGTGTTGCAGATTCTGCCTCGTACTTATTGTCAGTGTGAAAAAGTTACGTATTGTTCACGTGTGAGTCTGTTGTGTACAAAATACACGATGCACCTCCTGTTGTTAACGCTGTCTTTGTGCGTGTGGTTTGCGATGTTGACACTTTGCTGCTATGACACTGGACTTCTACATAATTATTTATCTAAAAGATTGTTGTTCCGATCATTCTTTTCCATAACTGTGGTCCTCTGTGGTTCTTTTATATAACTGTGGTCCTCCATGGTTCCTTCTTCCAAATTGTGAAGGCCCGGTGAAATCAATATCAGTAGCTTATGTGAAACGAAAACGCGTTTCTCGCTTTTTGTCCTTATCCACCACCGGTTTTCAAGATGGCGCATTTACACGGATAGTCCTCCTCTCTCATGGACACTTATAAGTTCAATTCTAAGCCTATGAGTACAATTAAAAAAACATGGTGGAGGTAAATATTCTTAAAAAGGTCACATTTGTTATTAGTTAACATGTTGCTCCCCTTTTTGACAGTAGAATATCCAAATTACCACATCTAGGAAGCAGTCTTACATGTTCAATGCCTATACAGTATATCTCGAAGAGATAGGATGTTTATATTCTGCAAAATGAGTGATAAAATGCAAACAAACCTTACACAATTCTACTCATTTTTTTCATACTTTTCCATACTATTTTCGACATGACATAAAATATTACTATGCACTTTGTGTTGGATTTGACTGTCAAAGGATTTATATAATATTTAAACATGGTTTTCTATATGTGTAATCTATACATTTCAAGCAAGTCCTACAAAACGTTTAGAACATATTTGTACTTATTTTCCGTATGGGTAAACAGCTTTAACCTATGTTTGTGTAAGCCCTCAGTCATACAGGGATTAGTCAAAGCAAAGGAAGGTTTCTCACCTATCTGTACTTCTTAGCAAGTTTTCCCGACGTTTTGTCCTCAAACCAGCGGACTTCTTCAGGGAATGAATTCTCAGACCGCGCGTTGGAGATTTATAACCTATGGGTGTGGTTAGCCACACCCTAATCCTGATATCAGACCTTAGATTGTTTATGAGTTAGTATCAGGGTTATAAATCTCCAACGCGCGGTCTGAGAATTCATTCCCTGAAGAAGGCCGCTGGTTTGAGGACGAAACGTCGGGAAAACTTGCTAAGAAGTACAGATGATGGGTGAGAAACCTTCCTTAGCTTTAACCTATGTTGAACTTCTGTGTTGTATGAATACCTGGGTCTTCTCCAATAATCTTTTCCAGTGCTCTGATCTTGTTCACGGCTCTTATTGATGCTAAGCTGTAGAGCAGAGGGCAGTGGGACAGTCTGAAGCTCAGGGGGGTGAGATGGGGGTCCAGGCCCAGAGCAGGGGAGGAGTCTGGGAGGTCTGTGAGGAACATGGACCCTGGAGAGTGACTGAAGGCCAACGGCGGCTCTGGAAATGGAAAAATCAGATCAGTGGTGCTCCATGTCAAGTCTGGAATATGAGGAGAACTGGACTTGAATATGGGCACAATAATGGAGTATTCTAGAGCTGTCAAGAGAGGAGGTTTAATAAAATAAAACGACTTTTCGCGATGCCGGTTGTACAAAGGCTTCTACTCAGCAAAATGATACATAAGCCGCGTTTCCACTGCAGGAGTTCCTGGTAAAAGGAGCGGGGTGGAACTTTTACGTGAACCTTCCTCTCCCTCAGTCCTTTCAGTGTCCATGTCTCCAATGCAGAGTAGGACCATTCGGCGACGTCATATGAGTTTTGTTTGCCGCGAAACTCATTACGCCAAACCCGTTATTATTATAGATCCATGCGCCAAACCCATTTGTTTATTTAACGTTCCTAACCGCTCCAGTTGTTGTGGTCTTTGAGTTGTTTTATTGTCCTGCTTCGGTTTTTTAAAAACTTGTTTTGGATTATGATGAATCCCCAGTGCTTCAAGGTGAAGCTGATATGTCTTAATATATCTTTTCATTTTGCCGCAATGCCTCAAACCTCGTCTGAATCGCTGTGTTGTTGTTCGCTGTTTTCAGTGGTGTCTGCTAGGCTAATGCCGGTTGTTAAACTGCTTTCTGCTGGCGTCAGAGCCTGCGCTAGCTTTAGCTTAGCATGGAGGAGGGACTCCGTTGAGCCCTGTAAAAGTTCCTGTAAATGGCCCTGTGGGGAAAGTTCCTGCAGTGGAGACACGCACCGACGGGGCTGGCCCTGGAAAAAAAAGTTCCTGCGGTGGAAACGCGGCTATAATAACTTGTATATGAGGCCCTAAACTCAAGGGACAGGTCCTCTGCTGTTGCTGCACCCAAACTATGGAAGCTTCTCGTTCCCTGAATCAGAGCATCTCAATCATTAGTCTTTTATATCTGCACTTAAGACACATTTTGCCTTGGCATTCAACACTTGCTATGCTTGTTTTACTTGGTTTGTGGCACTAAGCTACATTTCACCCCTTGCCAGAGGAGATAAGGCTAGCACCATCAGTACCTTCTTTTAAATCATTTCTCAAAACCTGCTTTTATCAAACGTCCTATAAAGCCCTTTCCCAATTCTCACCATAGCCCTTAATTTTTACCCTTGCCCTTGATTTTGCACGTGCCTGCGAGGGTTGAAGGGTCCCAATACTGAAGGAGCAACGACGAGTGCACTCACAGCCTTAAAACGGCCCCTAAGCTCCGTAGATCCCTTACGTGCACGTGTGATCCCATGATGCATTACAATAGTTGGTAAAGTAGCTTCCGGGCAAAGCCACGCCACAATGAAGGAAAACAACATGAGCGTGTGTTGGTAAGTAAGTAAGTAAGTGCATAGCGCATTTCACAGACCAGAATCACAAAGCGCTTCACACATTAAAACACATAAAATACACATACAAGTCAGATTTAAAAACAAAAACAGAGGCCTATGAACAGTGAGGCGAGAAAGCCTGTCTAAACAAATAGGTTTTAAAATCATCAACAGACTCTAACATACGCAGAGACTGAGGAAGCTCATTACAAAGGTGAGGAGCAACTGCCTGGAATGATCTGTCTCCTCTGGTTTTAAAAGGAGTGCAGGGGACCATCAACAGGTTCTGAGTGGAGGACCTCAGCCTCCTGTTGGAGACATAGGGGTGGATCAGGCCCTGGATGTATTCGGGCGCCTGACCATGAAGAGCCCTGAATGTCAGCACTAGAATTTTAATATTGATTCTGTGTGAGACAGGGAGCCAGTGTAAGGACTTCAAGATAGGAGTTATGTGGGCTCTCCTGTGGGTGCGGGTCAAAAGCCTCGCAGGAGAGACATGTAAGCAGGCTGTTACAATAGTCCAATCGTGAGGAAACAAAAGCGTGGAAAATCCTCTCCAGCTCCTGACCCGAGACCAAATTACAATTTCGGATCAACTGTTTGGTATGACGTTCTAGGGACATCCTTTCATCAAAAGTGACTCCATGGTCTACGTTTTATAAAACCTGTTTGATCAGGGTGGATAATTGATGGGATTACTCTCTCCAGTCTATGATTTTTATATCATAGACCCTAACCCCTAACCCACATATATTAGAGAGATGGGTTTGTAGCTTGAGGGGAGCAGGGGGTCTTTATTAGGTTTAAGTATTACGGTATTAGAAGCAGTATTCATGCGGGTGAAGAGTGGAGAGAAAATATCCCAAAAAGGTTTACAAAACTTTGCAGGGAAGCCATCTGGGCCAGGGGACTTGTAATTAGGCATGTGTTTTAGTGCGGAGAGAAGTTCTTTTTCTTTTAATGGAGCATCCAGTTGGGAAGTCTGGGCGTTCGTCAACGTTGGTAGATCTATGGATCGTAGAAATGCACGGATATCATGGGGTCTTGGATTAAGGTCTGATGAGTATAGTTGTTTATAAAAGGTTTGAAATGTTTTATTGATTTCATCTGGTAGGGACGTTGGCTTCCCTGCTGAGTTTAATATAGCAGGTATTGTTGTTTTATCATCGTTTTGTTTTGCCATGTTTACGTCGTTGGACAATGTCCTGGGGGAATTGGTCGTTCAATTGGCGGTGCACTCGATGAAAACTGATGCTGTTGACTGTAGCGGATGGGAGTTTTAGTTTTTTGATAAGTGTTTGATAAGTCTTTGATAAGTTTTTCTGGCTCGTCGTTTGGTTGTTCTGCAATTCCTGTGAATACTAAATTATCTCTCTAGGCTTGAATGTCTAGGATAGTCTCTTTCCATTCTTTTATTGTCTGCAGTGATTGAGGTGAGTTGCGTTGATAAGGATCCTACCGTTTGTTTCAATCTATTTTTTTCTTTTGCGAGTGTTTCGATCTGCTCCTGACTGAATTCGAGGCTATGGCGAACAGCTTGAAATTCTTTATGGAGTGTTTCGATTGGCGCAAGTCTTGTGTCTAGGGTGAAAAGCTTACTTTCAATGGATAGAAGGATGTCTGTCATATCCTCACAGCAGTTCTGCTTGTGTTGATCCGCAGGTGGAGGTGTTGTTTCTGTAGCTTTGATGGGAAAATCTGGTGGACGGGGCCTTTTGGACTGCTTGGATGGGGTTTATGTACTTGAAGCCTTTTCCTTGCTAGCGATGGGTTCATATGCCATTTTGTTTTTATCACAATATGTATATTTATATAGAATAGGGAAAAAAAGTATTTAGTCAGCATTTAGTCAGTATTTAGTCAGTATTTAGTTCTCCCGCTTAAAATAATGACAGCGGTCTGAAATTTTCATCATAGGTACACATCAACTGTGAGTGAAAAATCCAGGAATTCACATTGTAGGATTTTTAAAGACATTATTTGTAAATTATGGTGGAAAATAATTATTTGGTCACTTCAAACAAGGAAGATTTCTGGCTCTCACAGATCTGTAACTTTTTCTTTAAGAAGCTCTTCTGTCCTCCACTCGTTACCTGTATTAATGGCACCTGTTTGAACTGGTTATCTGTATAAAAGACACCTGTCCACAGCCTCAAACAGTCAGACTCCAAACTCCACTATGGCCAAGACCAAAGGGCTGTCGAAGGACACCAGGAAAAGAATTGTAGACCTGCATCAGACTGGAAAGAGTGAATCTACTAGGCAAGCAGCTTGGTGTGAACAAATCAACTGTGGGAGCATTCCATTCCATTCCATTCCATCTTCTTCCGCTTCATCTGTTGCCGGGTCGCGGGTGCAGCAGTCTAAGCAGAGACGCCCAGACTTCCCTATCCACACACACTTCCTCTAGCTCGTCTGGGGGGACCCCAAGGCGCTCCCATGCCAGTTGAAAGACATAGTCCCTCCAGGTGTCCTGGGTCTTCCCCGGGGCCTCCTCCCGGTGGGACGTGCCCGGAACACCTCCCCAGGGAGGCGTCCAGGAGGCATCCGGAACAGATGCCCGAGCCACCTCAACTGGTTCCTCTCGACGTGAAGAAGCAACGGCTCTACTCCGAGCTCCTCCCGTGTGACTGAGCTCCTCACCCTATCTCTAAAGGAGCGCCCAGCCACTCTGCGGAGGAAGCTCATTTCGACCGCTTGTATCCGCGATCTCGTTCTTTCGGTCATTACCCAAAGCTCATGACCATAGGTGAGGGAGGGAACAAAGATCGACCGGTAAATCGAAAGCTTTGTCTTTCGGCTCAGCTCCCTCTTTACCACAACGGTCCGATACAGCGACCGCATCACTGCGCACGCTGCACCGATCCGCCTGTCAATCTCACGCTCCATCCTTCCCTCACTCGTTAACAAGACCCCGAGATACTTGAACTCCTCCACTTGAGGAAGGACCTCCCCACCCACCTGAAGAGGGCAAGGCACCTTTTTCCGGTCGAGCACCATGGCCTCAGATTTGGAGGTGCAGACTCATCCCAGCCGCTTCACACTCGGCTGCAAACCGCTCCAGTGCATGTTGCAGGTCCTGGTTCGTTGGAGCCAACAGGACGACATCATCCGCAAACAGCAGAGATGAAATCCTGTGGTCCCCGAACCGGACCCCCTCCGACCCCTGGCTGCGCCTAGAAATTCTGTCCATGAACACAGTGAACAGGACCGGTGACAAAGGGCAGCCCTGTCCGAGGCCAACATGCACCGGGAACAGGTCTGACTTACTGCCGGCAATGCGAACACAGCTCTGGCTCCGGTCATACAGGGACCGGACGGCCCTCAGCAGAGGACCCCAGACCCCGTACTCCCGGAGAACCCCCCAAAGTACACCCCGGGGAACACGGTCGAACGCCTTCTCCAAATCCACAAAGCACATGTGGACAGGTTGGGCAAACTCCCATTAACCCTCGAGTATCCGATGGAGAGTATAGAGCTGGTCCAGTGTTCCGCGACCGGGACGAAAACCACACTGCTCCTCCTGGATCCGAGATTCGACCATCGGCCGTAACCTCCTCTCCAGTACCTTGGAGTAGACCTTACCGGGGAGGCTGAGGAGTGTGATCCCACGATAATTGGAACACACCCTCCGGTCCCCCTTCTTGTAGAGAGGGACCACCACCCCGGTCTGGCACTCCATTGGCACTGCCCCCGATCGCCACGCGATGTTGCAGAGACGTGTCAGCCAAGACAGTCCTACAACATCCAGAGACTTTAGATAATCAGGGCGGATCTCATCCACACCCGGAGCCTTGCCACCATGGAGGCTACCAACCACCTTGGTGACCTCAGCCAGGGAGATGGATGTATCTGCCCCAACATCCTCAGCCTCTGCCTCTGTAACAGAGGACGTGACGGGGGGATTGAGGAGAACCTCAAAGTATTCCTTCCACCGCCCGACAATATCCCCAGTCGAGGTCAGCAGCTCTCCACCCGCACCGTACATGGTGTTGGCAAAGAACTGCTTCCCCCTCCTGAGGCGCCGGATGGTTTGCCAGAATCTCTTCGAGGCTGACCGATAGTCATGCTCCATGGACTCTCCGAACTCCTCCCAGTCCCGGGTTTTTGCCTCTGCAACAGCCCGGGCCGCGGCACGCTTGGCCTGCCGGTACTGGACAGCTGCCTCAGGAGTCCCCCGAACCATCATGGCTTGATAGGACTCCTTCTTCAGCCTGACAGCATCCCTTACTGCCGGTGTCCACCACCGGGTTCGGGGGTTGCCGCCGGGACCAGCACCAGAGACCTTGCGACCACAGCTACGAGCCGCCGCATCAGCGATTGAGGCAGAGAACATGGTCCACTCGGACTCCATGTCCCCCTCCTTCGCCGGGACCTGGGAGAAACTCTCCCAGAGGTGTGAGTTGAAAGTCCGTCTGACAGGGGGCTCAGCGAGACGTTCCCAGCAGACCCTCACTATACGCTTGGGTCTGCCAGGTCTGACCGGCTTCTTCCCCTGCCAGCGGATCTAACTCACCATTCTCACCATTTTGCCACTAATTTGTATATATTCAACTACATTCTGCAACTTAATAACATCGTCGTAGTTACAGTGGCCTAGTATCTCATGCCATTGTCTGTATGTCGTGACATATGTTACAGTTATCATTAGACTCAGTTTCAGTATGCAAATAATAGAGTCTACCATAAACATGAATGTTGAACCTGGTACCGTCTCTGGTTATCAGGGCGTCTTCATCTTCTTTAAAAATAACCGTAGCCCCATTCGTAGTGGCCGCCTTCACCGAGAAGATGCTCTGGGGGTACGACGGCACGAATAAAGCGTCTCTCAGCATCGCCTTGCGTCGCTGTCCTCTGTCGTCGATGAGAGAAACCTGAGCATTTCTCCTCCGCTGAGCCACCCCGCTGCACCGAGTGCAGTCTGCCAGCTCAACTCTGTGCAATTCTGGCTTGAACGTGCTGTCAAAATGTTTGAACATAGTTATGTTATTTATGACGTGAGAGGTAGCCCCCGTGTCCACCATCACACCTCTCTCCTGTATGCTGCATGCTGGCTGAAGCTGGTTACGGGTCTCTCCATGTCTTACCTTGAACACGTAGTCCTGGTCTGCTTTTTCTGAGACTTTATTCACGCCATCTTGTTTTTCCTTACTGTCCTTGTTCTTACGCCTGCACGTGGCGTTTTTGTGTGAGTCACTTTTGCAAAGACAATACCATGTCTTCTGTCGACATGCTTTCGCTCTGTGGCCTTTGATTCCACATTTAAAACACACCTCAGTGTCTTCTTTGTTCCAGCCATGTGCGTTGGTTTTAACAGACCGCCATGCGGTTTTCCCTTGAGTCTTCATCACACTGTCGCTGGATTGAGCCGCTCACGGTGGCTGAGTGGATAGCACTCTCGCCTCTCAGCAAGAAGGTCCTGGGTTCGAATCCCGGTCGGACCAGGGCCTTTCTGAGTGGAGTTTGCATGTTCTCCCCGTGTCTGCGTAGGTTTCCTCCGGGTACTCCGGTTTCCCCTACCACTAAAAATATGTACAATAGGTCTGGCATGCGCCTCCTGTTCGGCGACCCCGCTCCCATCTCTGTGTGGAGTGAGAGGACAAGTGCCCAAAAAATAACAATTGTAAACCGCTTTGTGACTCTGGTCTGTGAAAGGCGGTATATAAATAAAGATTACCTACTTACTTACTTACTTATTTTCTGTCTCTTCAAAACTACATAATTTAGTCTTGAATTCCGCAAACGTGGTGGTATCATCTGTATGTGCCACATGTATTGTGAATGGCTTATAACTTTCAGGCAGTCCCTTCAAGACCATAGCCACTAGCAAGCCGTCTCCCAACGTCTCACTTGAATTGCGCAGTGCTGTAATGGCGGTCTCTGCTCTTATTATGTAATCCATTACACTTTTGTCGTTTGCCTTCTGAAGTGATATCAGCGTGGTGTACAGGTTGATAATACGGGGCTTTCCCTTCCCGCGTAATACTCTCTCAATATTTTCAGAGCTCCTCTTCCATTTTTGGGCGCGTCAATCATTACTAATTAATTTAGAATCAGTATGTAAACAGTTCTTAAATTTCACAGAAACAATTGTCATTGTTTTAAATACATTGACAAAAGAAAGCATCAGTTTGCATTGGAAACTGAAGCGACAAAGTGAGTCAGTTCAGCTTTAAGGTATATCTTTTTTAACAATGGTCATGCCTGCCATTGCGTACCTGTGAGTAATGGGGACTATAAAGATTACTGTTGCTCACTCTTGTTAATGTCAGAAGAATATTTATGTGATTCCAAAAGAACGATTCTAATTTTCCTCAGAGACAAACAAATAGCCAACAGCAACAAATAGCTGCAAAGTTACTAAGCATTATTTCTTACTGCTGCTGAGAACTGCTTCCACGGCCGTCACTCCACAAGCCCAGAACACGGGCACGTCGCCGGACTCTGGTTGCACTCGGTCCCCATAGTCCGGTCTGGACAGGTCCCGGATCCCCAACAGAGCTGCAAACATTCAATATTAACCGGGGTTTCAGATTGCACAACATCTTTTGAATGCGCTGGAAAACGGCTGCAAGTCCCAATTTTTTTATTGTTATTGCTTTTTTCTACTTGAGATGTTGATGCAGTACAGTGTGCATCGTTTTACACGGGTCCAGACCGGAGCGGAGAGGATCCATGGTCTGAACCAAGCGGATCCGGTGAAAATCCACTGGAGGAATGCTAACCTTTTGAAAAACGCTATTGAAGCATTTAGCATTTTAATTTGGACTAGAGCAGAAAAAATGGTCCGAACCAAGCAGCTACTCCACCTTGTAACCTGTCCTGCTCCACCCAGAGGCTACTCCATCTCTGCTACTGTGCCCTGTCCTGCTCCACCCAGAGACCACTCCACCTCTGCTGCTGTGACCTGTCCTGCTCCACCCAGAGACCACTCCATCTTTGCTGCTGTGACCTGAAGGCCTGTGGCTGATTAATACTATTTGCTTTTTAGAAGGATCAATTTTCCTTTTGCTGCTACTGGACACCTGAATTATAAATGTATCTATCTGGTGTACGTGTGGTGAAGAGAGGACTGTATGAGATGAAACTTTCAATATTGAATAAAGCAGGGGTACCTAACTTTCAAACCACAAAAATGAAACATGCATTTATTTTTGGCCTCTGTCACATCTTTAGATCAGCTTTTTCAGATGGGAAAAGGAGACCACCACCCTCACTCAGTCATGCTCTCAGCCCAAAGCGCAAATGTGACTATTTCTTCAGGGCTCTTTGTAACAAGTATTCATCAAATTAGCCCATTTGCTTGGTACTAGTATTACCTGTGGACCACTGGTAATTTTCAAATTACTGCCCCACCTCTGTGATACTTGCAGCGCATTCTAGTTGGATAACCAAAGTTTGGAAATGACTATATTTTCACTGATACCTCACAACGGCCTGCAAGTGTGCTAGTCTGTCCGCTTCTCGCAGCCCAAAAGTTGACGTGTCTCCAAGTCAAAACACATGGAAAAAAAACATCACTAGTATTTAAACTTTAGCAGGAGGGGCAGGTTTGACAGTGATTCTGGACATCGTTTTTTTCTTTCATATAGTCTCGTGTGTGACCACAGCAGCCACAGAGTCCTAAAAAGAGGTGTTCGTCACTTGCTGCTCTTGCTTTGAACACGAGCCGTATTATAGTTTTCTGCTATATTTATTTATCTGTAAGGGAAAGAACAAAGAACATTGTTACATTATAAGCGTCCATAGGCCATATAATTTGCAGACCTGGTTCCTAACAGCTAAAAACAACAAAACAATAAACATCAGAGTCAGAATAATTTTTATTGCCACGTAAGTAACAGGAAGTCACAGACTTGGAAATTGCTTTGGCTCAGTGCAACAGTCAGACAGAGAAAATAAAAAATAAAGAATAAAAAACACTCCTAAGGAATACATTTCAATTTAAAATAGAGTTACAATTACTATATACAATATACACAATAACACCTGTCACCTTACTGTGCATACAATGTAAGGTGACAGCAGTACAGTGAAGTAAAGTGACATTACAAAGAGCGGGGGGACAGGTTAAGAAGTGTTCAAGAGTCCAACAGCAGAGGGGAAGAAACTGTTCTTGTGGCGGGAGGTTCTAGTCCTGATGGACCGCAGCCTCCTGCCTGGGGGGAGTGGTTGGAATAGTCCATGTGCGGGGTGAGAGGGGTCGGCTGTGATACGACCAGCCCGGCCTCGAGCTCGGGCGACGTACAGGTCCTGCAGCGATGGAAGGCTGCGGCCGATCACTTACTCTGCAGAGCGCACAATGCGCTGTAGTCTCTGTTTGTCCCTGACTGTGGCTCCAGCGAACCACACAGTGATGGAAGAGGTGAGGATGGACTCGATGATGGCCGTGTAGAACTGGTCGGCTCCCACTTGAGGTCCTGGGTGATGGTGGTGCCCGGGAAACGATAGGACCACAGAGGTGATGGGGGAGTCCATCACAGAGGGTGGGGGCGGTGCTCTTCCTGAAGTCCACAATTATCTCCACTGTCTTCTGGGCGTTCAGCTCCAGGTTGTTACCACTGCACCAGGACACCAGCCGGTTCACCTCCCTCCTGTAGGCGGACTCATCATTGTTGGAGATGAGTCCAATGAGGGTGGTATCGTCTGCGAACTTGATCAGCTTCACGGAGTCGTGGCTGGAGGTGCAGTGGTTGGTGGACAGGGAGAAGAGCAGGGGAGAAAGAACACAGCCCTGTGGGGCTCCTGTATTTATAATCCGAGAGTCCGAGACATTCTTCCCCAGACGCACTCGCTGCTTCCTGTCTGTCAGGGAGTCAGTGATCCACCTGCAGGTGGAATCGGGCACGTTGAGCTGGGAGAGCTTGTCCTGGAGCAGGGATGGCAGGATCGTGTTAAAGGCAGAGCTGAAGTCCACGAACAGGACCCTGGCATAGGTCCCGGGGAGTCCAGGTGCTGTAGGATGTGGTGGAGGGCCAGGTTAATGGTGTCGTCTACAGATCTGTTGGCTCTGTAGACGAACTGAAGGGGGTCCAGGAGGGGGGAGGTGAAGGACTTGAGATGGGAGAGGACCAGGCGTTCAAATGACTTCATGACAACAGACGTCAGTGCCACAGGTCTGTAGTCATTGAGTCCTGTGATCCTGGGCTTCTTCGGGACGGGGACAATGATGGAGGATTTGAAGCAGGCCGGGACATGGAAGAGAGGTGTTGAAAATGTCAGTGAACACAGGAGTAAGCTCACTGGCGCAGTGTCTCAGAGTGGCCGGAGACACGTGGCCCGGGCCAGGAGCTTGCGGGGGTGCAGCTTCAAGAAGATTTGCTTGATCTCTTTAGAGGCTATTGTCAGGGTGGAGGCAGACCTGATGGGTGGATTGTTAGAGTAGTGGGGGGTGGGGGAGGTGTCAGGGGCAGCTTCAAAGCGACTGAAAAAAAGGTTCAGGTCGTCAGCTAGATTGTGGTCGTCAGCACAGGGGGGGGCTTTGGGATTGTAGTTGGTGATCTCCCGTAGGCCCCTCCAGACAGAAGCAGTATCATTGTTACCAAACTGCTCCTGTAGTCGTTCTCTGTGCCGGGATTTGGCTGCTTTCAGTTCGTTCCTGATCTGATATTTTGCTGCTTTGTAGCCGCTGCGGTCCCCCTCTCTGAAAGCAGACTCCTTTTCTTTCCTGAGCTGCCGGAGTTTAGCAGTGAACCAGGGTTTGTCGTTGTTATAGATGACCCTGGTCCTTGTTGGAATAATGCTATCCTCGCAGAAGTGAATGTATGACGTCACAGTGTCTGTGCAGTCATCCAAACTGTCTGTGGCAGCTCTGAAAAGGTCCCAGTCGGGAGATTCCATGCATGTGCGCAGCTCTTCCACAGCTTCATCAGACCACACTTTGGTGCTCCTCACTACAGGTTTTGAGAGCTTTAGTCTCTGTCTGTAAGCAGGGATCAGATGTATCATGGAGTGATCTGAGAAGCCGAGGGCTGCTCGGGGAACAGCGCGAAAAGCTCCGCGAACAGTGGTGTGCAGTGATCCAGAGTGTTCTCTCTGGTTGGGCATTTGATAAACTGTCTGTATTTGGGTAATTCCTGACTCAAGTTTCCCTAATTAAAATCCCCCAGGATAATAATCAGAGAGTCCGGGTATAAACGCTCCATACACAGTACTTGCTCTGCGAGAGCGCGCTGAGTCACATAGGCATTCAGGGAAGACCGCGTAGGCACAGGCAACGTAGGTGGCGAGACCCGAGGTGGATTTGGACAGCAGCTGCCTTCTGCCTTCGTCACGTGACTACACAACTCAGAGCGGAGCGGAAGGACACGGCGGCCATGATGGACGTTAAAAAGTTCGAAATACGCTTTAATTAGGACATAAAAGTTAATTCTAATATCATTTGAGGCGAGAAATATCCCCCTCTATTGTCATATCAGAAGTCTGGAGATAAATTTGATAATTTTCGGGCTTTACCTCCAGCCTGAAGCTCCGGTGCTAGAAGCTAACAGCCCAGTTAGCTGCAGTGTTGAAGCCCAGAACAGGCTGTCTAAACACAGATTCACGTAATGAGAGCCCCCTGGATGTTTATAAGCTTAATTCTGAAAAACCAAAAGAGGATGCTTTTGCTAGACTTTCTCTGTTATAACAATTGTATTGGCAGTAATCATTCGTTTTTACAAAGTTATATTTTATGTAAACAATGCACATATACTCAATAAATGATTATTAGATATGAATTATATATTTGCTATGGCCCTCGTTTGTGCATCACTTAAAAGTAATTTTATCAGATCTAAATGTGTGTTTGCTGATGAGACAGGAACATCCATGGATCTATAATAACTGAAACATCCATTGATCTTTAATAATAACTGAAACATCCATGGATACATAATAACTGACATCTGTAAAATTGAGCTGAACACAGGAGATGTTTGACACTGCTCTTATTCACTTTTTTATCTCTTGAAAAGCAATCAGACTGTTACTCATCACATTTGTGTTTAATGTATTCAATTATAAGTATAAGTACTGCTGACAAATATGTAGTTATGTAAATAATACCTCACTTTGACGCTTTACATTTCAGACAAACAACAAAATCATAATAAAACCAACAAGTTTGATTTTTGTTTTCTTTATTTCCAGGTTTTCTGTGAAGTGCTGTCGATGAGACCTGTGTCAGAGGCAGACGCCCAGGACTCTGCTGTTGCTCCTGCTGCTGTTGCTCCTGCTGCTGTTGCTCCTGCTGCTGCTGTTACTGCTGCTGTTGCTCCCTCTGCTGCAGCTGTTACTCCTCCTGTTGCTCCTTCTGCTGCTGCTGTTACTCCTCCTGTTGCTCCTTCTGCTGCAGCTGTTACTCCTCCTGTTGCTCCTTCTGGTGCAGCTGTTACTCCTGTTGCTCCTTCTGCTGCTGCTTCTGCTATTGCTTTATGTCTTCAGAGATGCAGAGCCCACTGTTCTAACTATTCATGACTGATGATTAAATGAAAATATTATATACAAGTTTGTTGTAGTTC